TTCGCCACCACCTTCGCATGGTCGGTTCCTAAGTGGGCTTGGGCCACTCCTACACGCCAGTGCTTGGCTCAGATTTGGTAGTTGAATGGGCTCTCTCTTGTTTCTTTGCGCATTTCTACTTTACGCTTTGCCTGATTGCGCCTTTTATCTTATTTTCCACTTGTATTCACATATATGTCCTGCAAAACATGATTCTTCCAATACAAGTGAAACTATGTCAATAATAAATGCATATGTGTTATAAGTTTGTTTATTTCTCCTATTTTGGATCTTAATTGGTGGTCTGATTTGATCGTTAAGGACCGCCAACAAAAAGCCTCGTGAGAGCTCCCAATTCACCCTTTGTGGAATTTGAGTGATATTTTCTATATCCATAGAATTGGAGAGCTAGACTTTGAGCCTCCGTGAGCTTGTGTGAGCAATAGAGAGTTGAGCAAAGCCTTACACACTTTGTGATAGTATCAAGTTCATGGTTGTGTATTTGTACTCTTAGAGCATCGCTCCTAGACAACTAGGCATTGTTGGTAGGTAGCCAAGTTTATGGAGTGCCACAGCAAGTTTGTGTGGGCTGCGATCTTGCCCCCGAAAGGGAAAGGATCATCTAGTGGAGCGTGAAACACGTTGAAAGAAATCTAGACAGAGCTTCATCTTAGGTGGTCGCTCAAAGCTTCCATAGTGGAGACATAAGATCCAAGTAGGGATTCGAGCTCCAGGAAATACATCACTACGTCATCTTGTTTAGTTTGCCTCACTTTCACTTTTGCATTGCATTCAATTCATATATTTAAGCTTCTGCTTGTGTGTACTCGTTTTTACGTGTTTGTGGGTGTAGGAACACTTTAGATAAGATGCAATACACCCCAAGGCATCACCAAACACATTGGATTGAAGTTGGGGAGAAAAGAGATAAAAACATTGTTTTTTTTGTAGGATCTGGAAAAACCAGCCCAGGTTGGTTTTGACAGATAGCCTAAACCGGCCCATGCTGATTTTGGCAGAGCACATCCATATTTATAGTTTTAATTGGTAATTTTTTTGGATAATTTTTGTAGAGCCTACTCACTCTCCTTTAGCCATCGACTCGATCCTTTGAAGTTTGGTCCCTACGAAGACAACACAGAACATCACAACTCTATGGTTGTTCCCTATGTACACCTCTTATCTTTTCTTTTTATATTTGTAACTAATTTTCCTTTCCTTTTTTGTCAAACTTTTTGTGCTTTTCATTTTCTGATATTTTTTCAACTATGGGCACATGAGAAACAATCACATAAATTTTTAGCTCAATCAAATAAAAGGTATCCCCCCCCTAGAAAATCATGCACGTTCTCTAAAAAACATGACAAAACTTCTTGCCTCAAGAACTCAATCCTCCATGCTAAATTTTGGAAAAAGTTTTGGGCTGAACTTGACAAAATGTGGGAGAATCAGATGTGATTTTTTTCGATATTCATGAAAGAATACCTGATTTGAGTCCCTATGTGAAAGTTATAATATACAAATTTAGGAACGAGCTCACTCTATTTTTAACTTCCATCGTCATATCCAAAGGTTGCATGTCCTCACTCTATTAGTTTATGATTAAGCCACACTAATGTTTCTCATCAAATTTTGACACTAAAAACTTCGCACACATAATTGTCCCTATGAACACATATATATACACTCTACTCCTATTAGCAATCCCAAAAGACTCAACTAATTGACCATTATTGATGGACACCTCACCTAGTGCTGAAATAATAGTGATATTAAATCTTGGATAAAATATAGAAAAATAAATCTAAGCACCTGTGTAAAATAGATGACCCAAATTTAGGTGGACAGACGCCACAATAATTAACCAACCATCTAAGGTACATTTAGCAAGTCTCTCATCAAATTTTGAAGGTGTCTTATTTTATTTTATATTTGTCACCATGGCCCATGGGTTATGTTATATTTTAGGCTTGTGTTGAACTCTTGTAGTAACTAATGGTGTCTTTTTTAAAGAAATAATAAATACCATACCATAGGTTATGTTATGTTTTAGGTACATAAAAGGAAACATCATCATATACACTCAACTATTCGTCTATAATATAGAGTGGCGAGCGTGGATTACAACAGAAACAAAAAAAAGAATGTAGAAATTGGTGCCTACACTCTATATATGGACCACTAGTGGTTTAAACCAATGCTAGTATGCATACAACCAGTGACAATAGTACAAGACTCCTAGACATGATAGTTTGATTAAAACCATTACATATCCATTTGTTTGCTTGTAGCTTGTAAGGGCATATACAACAGAGAGACAATTGCTGCCTGTAAGTTCTTGAAATTTATAATACAAACGGTTGAACAAATAACTCGTACGACCCACAGACAGCTGCTATCTATTTGGCTGTCTATAAATTTTTTTAATACTTACATATAGTCATGATCAATCATGAATATCATTTCTATATACCATTATGTTACTAATTGATGAAATCTTTCAGGATAAACCATATATTATATATAATGTAATATAATATATTTCATAAATCAAATATAACATACGTCTTCTTCCCCAAAAAATTATGTCTAATTTTCTTTGTTTCCATAGCAAGAATCAAAATCAAATGAGCATGCAAGTAACTGAAAAATAGAATTGCAGAATGTGTGCGTTCAAGTGAATATTCAGTTTACAGAATGTGTGCATTTAAGTGAACACCTGCTCAAAAGAAGGCACTACCAGGCACAAACTATGCAACATGTGTCACCAGACGACGTACGCGATCAGGTGGAGTCGTCGTCGGCTGGCAACGATCCATACAGCGGCCACTCAGCTGGCGATTATGCATAGGAGCACGAGCCACAGCCGGTGTCTCACCAGGCGACGGCAACCATCTCTCTCCTCATTTAATCGTGAACACATCAGCGTATTTTGTTTAGCTTGAGGTGTACAGACGGCAGAAGGTTGCCGTTTTATGTGCCCTAACTGAGATATATATACGAAAACAAATTTGACATAAACACAAATAATTATATATATGCACATATATATACTAGAAAATATATGTCCACGTGTTGCAAAAAGAACGTACAACTTGTTGCGTGGTCACCTGGACCATTTAATTTACGGCTTAGTTGTTCTCACATGTTCAAATCGAACTTCACTTGACATGTCTTAAAATCGTACTTCATACAAGTTTCAGACATCCGTTGTTCTAACTCGTAAAAGTATGAGCCATGATCCCCTAAAAAAAGTATGAGCCATGATCCCTGCCGGAGAAATCCTTTTCATTCTCTCTTTCACGCATGCAAGGCTGCAAGAGCCGGTGCTATTGGGAAATTTTATGTATATGCAAGATTGTGGAAAAAATAGAAGGGGAGAATAGAAAGACGTGCCGAGAGGCCGGCGTCGAGTCAAAGCATGAAGCTTCTTCTAGTTCTAGCTGAATGTGGCTGGCGGTGGCGGCCTGGGGAGTTGGCGCTCTGCTCTGCTGTCCGGTGGCTGTCTGGAGTGACTGATGAGTCTGATGATGATCTGATCCGTCCACCGACAGAATCCCACTCCTCCGGCGGTTGACTCGCCGTCTCAGGCGGGCCGCCGCGCATGCCCGCGCGCGGCTACCACAACAACACCAGTGCTAGCCGCCTAGTAGCTCTATCTATGCCCTTGTTGGATGACATTCGGTCCACAGCAATAATAGTAAGCGTGTTCTATATACAGTACTTCATCTGTTATAAATTATAAATCGTTTTGATTTTTTTTAGATATATTTATTTTGCTATGTATTTAGATATAAAAATATATCTAGATACATAACAAAATGGATAAATAAAAAAATCAAAGCTTCTTATAATTTAGAACGGAGCGAATACAAATTAAATTTGGTCAAGAAGACCCCAAGCTGCTTGCTATAAGCTCGTGATTAGCACGTACTTCCTCCCTTCCAAATTTCAAGATGTTTAAATTTTTTAATCCATTTCTTCTAACTATATATATGTAGACATCGTGAACGTATTCCTAAACGCATAGAAAAAACTATGCATAAAAAAACCAAATAATTTAGAATGGAGAGTGTACTTCCCTGTACTAGCTATAGCTAGTCTGCTAGTATGAATTGAAATTAGAGAAACTTTCGTTCATTGCGGCGACCGACGACGAAATACGTGTAGCTTGTTTTGGATATATAAGTATTATTCGATGCAGTACAGGTAGCATGCCCACCGTACGTGGCCTTTACGCAATGAAGGGGGCAGATCCGATGGCCGCCCTCGGATCGAGGCCACCGTCGTCGTAGCGCGCATGTGGGACACGGTCTCCCATGCCCCATCCTGCAAACCTCGCCACGTATAGCCATCGAGCTAACAGCTAGCAGCAGCATCCTGACGTGCCACTAGGGCCCCGTTTAGTTCGCCGCAGATTTGGCGCCGCCGGAATCTGTAACACCGTAGCGCACTGTGGCGTAGCGTTTTGTTTATATTTGATAATAATTATTTAATCGTTGACTAATTAGACTTAAAACGTTTGTCTCGTAAAGTATAATCAAACTGTGTAATTAGTTTTTTATTTTGTCAACATTTAGTACTCTATACATGTACCGTAAGTTTGATGTGACGGGAAATCTTCTTTTTGCATAGTGCCAAAATTGGAAATTCCGTGAAACTAACGTCGCGTTTAGTTCGGCCACCGAATCGGCGCCGCCGGATTTGAGGCGCACTGTAGCTACTGTAGCGTTTTTTTTTTATTTGGTAATAATTGTCTAATCGTTAACTAATTAGGCTCAAAATGTTCGTCTCGTAAAGTACAACCAAACTGTGTAATTAGTTTTTGATTTCGTCAACATATAGTACTCCATGCATGTATCGCAAATTTAATGTGACGGGAAATCTTTTTTTACATAGTGCCAAATTCTGAAATTTAAGGCAACTAAACGTGGCCTAAACAAGGGCTAGCACGCCCCCAAGCGAGCCCATCGAGCTAACAGCTAGCAGCAGGCCAGCAGCCAGCATCTCTCCACGCTCTCATGTCGCCCCCACCACCGCACGCGCTCCTCTTCCTCCTGCTCCTCCTGCTGCTCGCCTCGCCGCTGCCGCACCCGGCCGCCGCGGACGACCGCCCCATCGTGCAGCAGTTCTACTACTACTCCCCTCCGCCGCCGTCCACTCCTCCCGGCGGTGGTGGCTACGGCGCCTACCCGCCCCCGGCGACGACGACGACCGGGCCGCCGCCGGGGAGGGGGGACAACAACAGCGCGCCGCCGGGGGCGCGCGGCCAGTACGCGTTCCTGTCCGGCTCCGAGGCGCCCCGACGAGTAGCGCCGGCGCTCCGGCTGCCGCAGCTTGTCGTCTGCGCCGTGGCCGCCGCGCTGGCTCTTGCATGGCGTTAGCCGCTCATGGTCGGTCGGTCGCTCTCGGACTCTCGGACTCTCGGTTCAGCGAGAGTATCGCCGCCGGCCGGTAATTGTCATTATTATGTGTAAGCGCGATCTCAAATTGTGCTGCTGGAGTCACATATGATTTATTTATGTGGATGCGTTTTATATATGCACATTTTATATCTAGTAGAAAAGAAATTTGGGTATGCATATATATGCTCTGTGTACTTTCAGCTGAAAATGTTTTATCAAGTCATTTTTGGTTCATAGATTTTTTTTTTCAAGTTTCCATCTCTCTCTCCTGCTCTGTTACACACTTTGCCCCTATTTAGAACACGAAAAACTTTTAATCCAGTTTTCTGAAACTAAGGCAGATGTTTATCAGTTGTGTATGATTTGGCGTTTTTATTAAAAAAATCATTTATTAAAATCTCAAAGCTATACATCAAGTTGGTATAAAGCACTATACCTAACAAGAGGTGCACACAAACAGAAGAACTAAAACTTAACTTGTATTGGTACTATCAATTTTTAAACTAGACCACTCATGTTCCTAGCTAGAAAAAAATATTTTTGTTCACACGCATCAACTAGTATGAATCCGGTTTCTGCAGAAAAGGCTAAGTACGTAGTCAGCGCGGGTAATAATGAGGAGGTAACCTACATAATAGGAATGCTTTTTTCTTTTAAAAACCAGTATCATTCTTGTTGAGCAATATGGACAAGTCAGACACAGCTACTTCTAATGAATTCTGTTATTTTCTTAATTACATTTAGCTAGGTTATCTGGTTCTTTTCTCAGCACAACTTCTTGTTACAGCCTTATATTTTCATTTTCAACGAGACCTTCACTTTACGAATTAGTTTGTTAATGTTAAGGAGATTAATACGTACATCTTAATGCTTGGTAGCATGACTGAGAACTCGTCCGTGAAACACGTCTTGCTTAGAGTCAAACTGTATATTAGCTATACGAAGCAACCACTAGCACAGTTTTTTTTATACTAACTGCATTTTTTAGATTTATTGTAGTGGTTATGTGAACTGCCAGTGTGAAAGACCATTAAAAATAGTGATACTGGCGTCACTTAAGAACAATATATGTAACTATTTACACTGGTGATTGCCTTATGGCTGTCTTAGCATAAATCGATTTACACTAACGGTATACTTACAAAAACAATTCATCCGTGTAAATGGTTTTATAGAAGTAATAAATCTGATAAAAAGAAGACTTTTCTTTTTTACTTTGGAAGAAGCAGCCGCAGGTAATTCACAAGATTCTTTATGCGAATACGCATGTCAGCCACGGAGATCGAATTCACTATCTCAGAGTGTTACCAAGTGGATGCTATTTACTTTATTAAATACTTTAATACCAAATATTTGTATTAGATATTTGAGAGACTAAGCGAATACAAATGAAAAAAAATAAACTAAAAAAATCTTAGACCTCTTAAATTACTATAATTTTTGTTTAGATCGTTTTAGCATCTGAGGTCATTTGAAAAATTAATTTTAAATGATCTCAAATAAAAAGATTGTCAACTACAAAGTTTTACAATCTCTTTGAGTACTACAACTTTGGTTTATTATCATATTTTCACTTTGAAAATTAAAATAAATCTGAAAACCTAAAATAAAATTTCTGATACTAAATGGTTTGAAATGAAAAGTAGTCAACTACAAACTTCCAAACCTCTTGAGTGCTACAACTTTGGTTTATGTTATTTCTCCATTTGAGATTATTTGAAATCTTTTATACATTTAATTTAAAATTATGAAACTTAAAACATTTTTTGGGTCTTAAATGATTTTTTTTGGGTACTATAACTTTCATATAAAGTTTATTTAAATCCAACTTAATTTTGCCAACGGAAGCTAATCCGGTTGGTCTACCGATTTATACTGTCCGGAGGGAAAAAAAGATCCCCTCACCTGCCCTGAGTTTCCCAAAGCATAGGTTGCGGACCGGTCCACTCCAGGTTACGGGCCCCTGTATGCGGGCAGGGTGTGGGGTTCGGGGGTTTTCCTCGGCCTACGTGAGAGGTGTCCTTCTTAAAGTGCAAAGCTCCAGGGTTGTCTGGCCAACCAAGGGTCGAGTTTTTTTATCCAACTTAATTTTATAAAATATTTTTATTATTGTGCTGCACCGATTTTTAGTGGTGAACCAAATTACCATGAGATGGCTAGAATTTTGATCCGCATTCTAAAAATGACACAATTTCTAGAGGCGGCCGGAAAGTCTAGCTATCTCTAAAAAATTGTATTTTTAAGAGACGGATTGGTTTGCGTAATGCCTTTAGAAATATCGGACATTTCTAGAGGTGGTTGGAACTAAAAAATTATTTTTAGAGATAAGCTAGTTCATAAACCATTTTAGAGGTGCGTTTTACATATAGATAGCCAAACAGACCCGATTGATGGGGCGACATATGTCTGGTCCGAAAAAGGATGACATAGGACCGACAGGCCAAGCCCTTGGTGCTTGCGCCGGTCATGACATGACCATAGTGTCATGCCTAGGCCTGGACTCCCGCTCGTAGGGCCAACACGGACACAAAACAACACATATTTTGGATCGTCATGATGTGGTGGATCTTTTTTCTACTCGTTGGATGGCCTCAAAAATTTTAGAACCGTTGGAGACTATATAAATATCCCCAAACATTAGCTCCAAAACACCAGCTCCTTATCCGGTCGTCTCCTCCTATATTCCTGCTCCAGGTTTCCTTGTGGCGGCGTGGGGGGGGTGGTTCTTAATGGCAAGATGGCCTCGGTGTGACAGCCTGACAGGGCGACGACCTCGCGTGCGAGGTGCTAGGCACTGCATCGACTGAGGTCCAGTTTAGTTTGCAAAATTTTTCACATTTCCCGTTACATCGAATCTTTGGACGCATGCATGAAGCATTAAATATAAATAAAAAAATAAAACTAATTATACAGTTTAGATGAAATCCACGAGACGAATCTTTTAAGCCTAATTAGACTATGATTGGACACTATTTGCCAAATAACAACGAAAACGCTACGGTACTCATTTTGCAAAAATTTTTGCATCTAAACAAGCCCTGAGATTGTGCTTATTCTCATCTATTTTATTAGACATATTATTATATCTACATGTACCGTAAAATAGATGTATAAAAAAAAGTCAAAACAGCTTATAACATTTTGCTAAATCTGCCTATGTAAATAAAGGTGTTGCCTCTAAAAATAGTTTGTCTGCTGGTGCAGGGATGTCGAACGGCCATGAGGTCCATGGGCCATGAGCACCGTTTCACCGGGCGTAGATTTGTCATAACCCCATGGTCCACCATGGATCGGGCCATTGATTCCCACCAACACACGTGCTGGCAAATGCGGTTTTCGATGGAGCGGGCCGGGGGAGTCCAACCCGGCGTGGGCTGCGATCCACGCACAGGTTTTTCTTCTTTTCTGCGGAGTATTTGACAGTGTAAAACCCTGGCCTATCAATTTTTAGCCACATCCAAGGAAACGGAGACACCTTGCGCGGAAGGCTCACCAGATGTCCCGGCACGCATGTTTTCAACTCTCCTACAGCAGCGGCAAGCCATGCATGCATGGGGCCGGGCCGGGCAGGAGAACAGGTCCTTGGCCACGGAGAAAAACTCGATCGCTTGCAAGAGCACACAGAAGCAGGTATATAAGCCCGTTCGGGTGGCACCCTTCCTCTCATCACCATCGCCAGGACTTCAGCACAGACCACACAGGAGGAGGCCGGGGACACGTATGTACCAAGAGCCACACAGTACCGTCTCCCGCCCCCCGCGACCGCGACGCGCCATGGCCATGGCTCGCTCCGTCGCGCACCTCTTCTTCCTCCTCCTCCTCGTCTCCACCGCGCCCGCCGTGCGGACCATCCCCGACGCCGCCGCCGGCGGGAACCTCCAGGAGGCGTGCAACAAGACGCTGTTCCCCAAGGTGTGCCTGCAGGCGCTCAAGGACAACCCGGAGTGCCAGTCGGGCCCCGTCACCCCGCGCCGCCTCGCCGAGCTGCTGGTGTACGTCTCCGCCGAGGTGGGCATGACGGTGGCGGCGTTCGCGCACCACGAGCTCAACGCCATCAGGGACGACGTCCTGTACCGGTGCCTCGACACCTGCTCCGAGGACATCGAGGAGGCCGTGGCGCACCTCAGCGCGCTCTCCCGCGACTTCTCCGACGCCAAGTTCCTCGAGGTCAAGTCCTGGCTCGCCTCCACGCTCGGGGGCACCTCCACCTGCGAGGACGCCTGCAAGGACGCCCCCGTCAGCGATATCAAGAACGCATGCATCACCAAGAGCTTCGAGTTCGAGAAGCTGCTGCGCGTCACGCTCGACCTCATCACCGAGGCTTCGGGGTCCATGTCGGCTGAGGTCGCACTGCCGCCCTCGGCGGCGTCGGGCGCCAGCGCGCCGTCGACGTACGACGGCTCGTCCGCTGGCGCCCCCGCCTACGGCGCGCCGTCTCCTGGCGGCGGTGCCCCAGCTTATGGCGCCAGCGGCTCACCGGCACCGACCCCGGGGAAGAGTACTGCTTCCGACGCGTAACGCGACTGCATGAGTGATACTAGATATGTCTGGCGGCACACGCACCTTGGTCCATTCTCCTATGTGCCAAGGATTTTGTTCTTTCCATCACACAAATTTCCATAAGAATGCCAGTTTAGAATTAGAGTTATTTGGAGGTCGAACTGCATAATTGATGCAAATATAAATGAGGCCAGAAAATAGCACATAGGCCATAGTAGTTGAGTGTGTTAAAATTTTATTATTACTACTACTACTACTACTACTACTACTTTTTGATAGGATGAGTTGAAGGATTTAATGTAGCGTTGATGTTTTCTTTTACGAAAAATGTAACATTGATGTTAGCTATGTTACTTTGACATGTTGCAGCAGTAAGCCATCGTCATCTGTTTTTTTTTCTTTCCTAAAAACATATAATGCACTTCCATTATTCCAAACTAAAACTTTAACTATTACTTGCATTTGTAGTTTATTGTTTA